ATATATATATATATATACTCCCTTGAATACTTACTGAGTGCCCACAGGGAAGCAGACAACTGGCATGCTATCTCTCTATTTTACGGGAAGAAACAGGCACTGAGAGATTCAATAACTTGCCCAAGTTATAACAGGGCCAGGAAGTGGTAAAGCCAGCATTAGAAACCTGGGCAATTGACTCTTCTAAGAGCTACCAGGCAGTCTGAGAACACCATGCCAGAGCTGGGGGAGGGGTCCACCCACCCAGGAGGCAAGGGGGCTCTCTGCAGCTTTTCACCTTCTCCCCCAGGGTACAAAGCCGCTGCTTCGGCATTGCCTCCCACCACCCTCTGACCCCCGGGACTCCCTGCCTGCTTCTGTCCCCTCTGGCTCCTACCTGGAAGTCTCCTCCATGCTCCTCACTCAGCTGGGAAAAGAACTCTGAGGGATCTGGGATGCGACACTCCAAAACCTTCTTTAGCCTGAAGGAGAGGCAGGGAGAGGGAGGCAGGCTGTGAGGAGGAGGGGCCATGTGTCCTACTGTTAGTATTCCTTCATTCATTGAACCAATATTGATTGAGTGCTCGCTGTGTGCCCAGTTCTTTGTCTGAGAATCACTTAGAAGATGCCTGCTTGCAAGGAGACTAACATTCCAACAGTGATACAGATGTGAGACAAGTAGACAACATGGCCATCTGTTCCATGCTGACAGACATCCAGGTGTGAACAAAAGAAGGGTGGCAGAGAGTCAGGGGACCGAGTGGGCCAGGAACGGGATGTCTGGCACGGAGTGAGTGGGCAGAGAAGTCTGAGAGAGGCCAGATAACAGGCCTGCTAGGCAGTGCTCAAAGGTCGCTGGTCTAGGCTCTGTGCTCCAGGGTGGTGAGTGGGGGCTGAATTTTAGCCCAGGTTCTGCCTGCCAAGCATCTGCCTGGAGGAAAGAGCCCTGTTTTCTGATAATGAATGGTAGCTGTCCTCAAGGGTTGAGTGTATTCTGAGCCCAGCATGCAGTTTCAGCTGGCCAGGAAGCAGGAGAGCACAGGGTCCAGCGGTGATAGAGAATGGATTGGAGCAGCAAGAGTGCCAATGAAGAGACCAGGAGGGAGAATCACGTGACTCTGTCTGGGGAACAGAGGGGCCCTGGTGGCTCAACTGCTCAACTGGCACTTGAAAGGACATTTCCAACCCACCAGCTGCTTTGCTGTCAAGTCAGTTTCAACTCATAGTGTTCCATGTGAGCCCAAACAGAACAAAAGCCATATGAGTCCATTGCTGCCGTCCAACCTGAGGGGCTCATCTTCCAGCATTATATTGGACAATGTTGCGCCGCTCTTCATAAGAAGCTATTTTTTTCAGAAGTAGATTGCCTCCTCCTTCTTCCTAGTCTGTCTTAGTCTAGAAGCTCTGCTGAAACCTGTCCACCATGGGTGACCTGGCATCACAGCAACACATGCAAGTCTCCGGGGCTCCTAGAGCACAGCCCCTGTCTGCATCTGCCTGCTAGACTCTCCTGTCCACACTTGTCAGTGGATGGTCGGTCTCCCTCTGAGCTCCCACCACTGGGACCTAACCGCATTCTCCTCTGTGATACTGCATACACATACACACTTCCCTCTTCCTGGGATGCTCCCCCTGCTCAAAGGATGCTGGTCCAGGCTGTGTGCTCCAAGGTGGTAAGTGGGGGCTGAATTCTAGCTCAGGTTCTGCCTGTCAAACTCACCTGGTAAACTCAGGTTTCAAAGGGAAATATCACTCCCTGGGGTGGGGAAGTTTCTACTCACTGCCCTCAAGCCAGGCTTCTCTCCTGATGCTCCCCTCACATCCTGATCACTGTGTGTTACTGTGTACAAATGTGATTCATCAAGATCTGCCCTCCCGTGAGGATGGCTCCACAGACAGGCCACTGTCCAGCACCTCATACTGCACCTGGCACCCAGCTGCTCTCAGTGAACACAGGAATGCATGAATGACTCACAAGAACCTAGTACACACAGAAGCAGTAACTGGGATATCACACACACACACTTGGGGGGTGCTCTGGGTAGAGTCTTCCATGGGGTTTCACCTCCCAAGCCCCTTCTCAGCTTTTCACAAACCAAGCGGGGGAACCTTTGTGGGTGCACAGGAAAAGTCAGGTGGGGAGGACTCTGAGGTGGCAGATGGACGACAGTGTCAGAGTAGAGCTCTCAGCACTGCCTCTGTGTGTGTGTATGTGTGTGTGCGCATGGGTGTGCACATGTGAGTATACTCTGGAAGAGAACATGAAGGATGGGGAGGGGGCTCTCTTACCAGGGACTGATGTATTGGCATTTGACCAGCAGGCATACCAAGATGATGAAGATGAAGGTAATGGTACCACTGACACCCCCAATCATGTAGCTCCTCCAAGAAAGAGGTAGGGTCTTCCCGGGGGCTGCCAGGGGTGGGAGAAGAGGTCAGGAGAGGGGTTAGAGAAGTGTCCTCACTCACTCTGATCCTGCAACCCTCACTACAACCCCGTCCCATCCCACCCCACTTCCAACCTGATGTCATGCTCTGAGACTCAGTTATAGGCCCTGCATACAACCCCCTGATGGACACCTCAGGTCCTCCAGTACCTTCAGGCCTTGTCCTAAAGGACAGGGGCTGGCTCCAGGGGCTCCAGGTCATGTTGATGTCTTTACGGGCCCTGGTCTGCACCTGAAGCTCGTAGGTGGTGTCTGGACTCAGTGTCTCCAGGTAAAGCCATTGCTGGTTCTGCTTGATGCTCAAGGTCTCCTAGGGCAGAGATAGGGGTGTCAGGGACTGTGGCCTCCCCACTACCCACCCAACCTCACATGACAAAGCCAGGAAGCTGGGCAAAGCAAACTCTCCATTCTCCCCACTTTCTCATCCAACTGATAAGCCCGTGACGTGATGCCCCAGTTATTGGGGGTACAAAGCCCAAAATCACCCCAAGTTCCTCCTCCCACATTAAAAGCCACATGCCAATCAACTCCTACCTCAGGACCCATTCTACACTCTTTTCTTCTCTGTCCCCCGCTCCCTGTCAGCTCCACTGGCTCCCACCCACACTCACATCCACACTTAGAAAGCATGCATCCCCTCCTGTCACAAACTCAGATTCCTCCTCCTCCACCCTGACCTCTAGAATCACTCTCTTATTCTCATTCCCCTCACACAAGCATCCTTCTGATTCTGTGGGAGACCCTGCCCAGACCTCTACAGGGTTAGCTCCATCTTGACTTCAGAGCCCTTCCCTGGGTCACCCAAGTCTAAAGTAGCCTGCCCCAGCCACTCTCAAGACCCGAGTCCATTTCGTTTTCTTGAGAAACCAGCTGCCGCAGAGCTCACCCAGAGTCGTGGTCACCCAGGGTATGCCAGAGTAGAGCTATGCTCCATAGGAATTTCAATGGCTGGTATTTTGGAAGACGACTGCCAAGCCTTTCTTCCAAGGTACTGTTTGTACCACTTAGAGAGTCATTTTCTTTACTGTACTCTCAGAAACTCTTGTTTCTGTGCTTACTGACAGTCTGCTCCCCAGTCCCCATTGAGTTTCCTCAGAGCAGAAACCACTTTCTCCCCAGCATCCAGCACATAGTAGGTACTCAGTAAATATTTGTTGGATAAATGAATGTGTGAGTCCTGGAGACAGTGATTGGGCAGGGTGATCAATAAGTGGATGACTAAGTGTCCCAGGTCTTGGGTCTCTGGAACCAGGTTGGATTTGAAGGGTGGGAGAGTGGCCCCTAGGACCTCAACTCTCACAGATGGTTTGTCACCTGCCTCTCTGCCATAGAATCCTCACCTTGGACCAGCCCAGAGTCAGCTCCAGGTGGGCGCACTGCTCCAGGTGGGACACATGGTGGGGGGTAGGCAGGGCTGAGTAGCACAGGATGGAATTTGCTGCCTTTGTCTGCTAGGGGAGTGTGATGTGGCTTTGCTCAGATGAAGATTTTCCCAGGGCAAAGAGGGGAAGGAGGGTCAGGATAGGTGGGGCCCGGTCACTACTCACCCCCCAGCTGTGGCCTTGGAGCCGTGTCCGGACTTGGAACTCCAGGTAATGTTTAATGTAGTGGGAGACCTGGGGGAGGGTCCAGGTGACGTTGCACCTTCGAGCCTCGATCTTGACGATTTGGAGGGAGGTGGGGGCCATCAGGCGAACTGAAGGCAGGAGAGAGGACAGAAAGAAGAGCGTGCTCAGGTGACCCTGGGTCATGATGTTGAGATACCAGAACCCATACGTATTTCTGCCTTCACCTTTGACCTATTGGACCTTCCCCCAGAGACCTTCATTGCCCATCGCCTCCCTTCCTTCTGATTGCTCAAATGTCACCTCACCTCTTTGAGAAGTCTTCCTTGACCTCCCACCGCCCTCCATTCTTACCCACTTCCTTCCTAGGACGGTCACTACCCGACACATGAAATATTTGTTCTTGTCTCTTCTGACAAGACTTTGAGCTGAGTCGGAACCAACACACTTTGGAAACTTTGTGTTGTTGTTGTTGTTAAGTGCGGTTCAGTTGGTTTCGAATCATAACAACCCTGTATAGGGTTTCCAAAGAGCTGCTGGTGAGTTTGAACTGCCAACCTTGTGGTTCACAGACCAGTGCTGATTCACACCATGAGACTCTGCAGAAGTGTGCACATAATAAAAAGCAAATGCTTATTGAACCGACCATCCCATGTGATCAATAACTGATTATCCTTATTTCACAGATGAAGAAATTGAGGCTCAGACATGTAAATGGTCTGCCCAAGACAATATAGGAGGAGGTTTTGAATCCCATGTCTTTCCAAGAGGCAGCCTCCAAGGTCAACCAAGGTCAGGTGATAGAGTGGAGGAACAGTGAGAGAGAAGGGAGCTTGTGGGTAGAGACAAGATAGGGGCACCAAGCAAAAGTGGTGGCGGTGGTAAGCACACAGCCAATGCTACAAGCCTTCCCCTGGCCTGGCGTGCTAAGGATGGAGACTCAGGGACAGTGAAACCCCTGCTCTCGGGGAACTCCCAGACCAGTGAGGGAGACAGACCCATAAGTAGGTAGTGATGACCTGAGACATAAATTTCCTGATGGAGGTGACCGTTCATTGAACTTGAAAAATGAGTTGGGCTTTTCTAGGTGGGAAAAGCCTTTCAGACAGTGGGATCGAGTGTGCAAAGGTTCAGAGGCACAGATGAGTATTCTGCCTCTGGTGAAGATATAGGCCTGCCAGAGCAGGCATACAGAGACCAGGCTAAAGAGGGAGGTCAGGCCAGGTACTAAGTTACCTTGAATGCCAGGGTAAGGAGCTAGGATTTTATCTCGGGGTGACAGGCAGAGAGACTGGAGCAAGGAGGACCCCAGAGGGGATGACAGTGAAGGAGGGTCCACCCAGCCTTGCCCTGGGGTTCTCACTCACGGTTGTCAAAGGGCTTGAAGTACAGGCTTGTCGCTACCCACTGCTGCTTCCCTTGGTGGCACTTTACGCTTATGGTGACGACATCAGCTGCTGTCAGTATCTGAGACTGCAAAGGAAGGAGACAGGCCTATGGCTGCCCGCAGTGGGAGAGGGTATGTCATGGAGAGGGAAGGTTGTGCCAGTTGACTGGAGGGGAGGTCAAGAGCTGCAGCGAAGATGACGCCCTCCATTTGCCCCACCATCTAAGGCAGGGAACTGAAAACTTTTGTTTTCTAAAGGGCTGATGATAAATGTTTTTGGTTTTGCGGGTCTTCTGGACTCTGTTACAGCCAATCAATGCTGTCCTTGTAGCTTGAAAGCATCTATAAGAGACTGACTGTGTCTGTGTTCCAATAAAACTTTATTTACAGAAACAACCAGAGGGCCATAGTTGGCTGACCCCTGATCTAAAAGTGAAATGAACTGCCTTGATAGATAGTGAGTTCCCCATCACAAGAGGTATACAAGAAAAGTAGGTCTCTCCAAGAAGATGTAGGTCTGGACCTATACATGTCTAATAGCTTCAAGTATGAAAGTGTCCGCTTCCCATCTCTCCCCATCCCATGCCCTGCCCTATTTGGAAGAAAATGGCCAGATATGACGTGTTTTTTGTGGGCAGATACTGCTCAGGTACCTTAGCCCTGTGCCACTTGATTCTCACGGCAGACAATCCATCCCCATACTGTGAACAAGACTCTGCTGGATAAGGGACTTGTCAAAGATCACGCAGCTGATCATCAGGTGAGTCTAGATTCAAACCCAGGTCCTCTGTGTCCACAGCCCCACAGAGGGACTACAGCTTCTAGGCCACTGTGGCTGACCGAGGCTGCTGGATGGCCAGTGCTGGAGTGGGGGTGGGGAGTGTCTGAGATCCTTTCAGGTCTAGGACTCTAGTCACTGCCCCTCTGACCTACCAGGAGCCCCTGCTGTGAGCTAACCTTGACTCCAATCACCGGAAGTCCTGGTACTGCTTAGTCAGGGAATCCTTTCTCTCTCTCCACATCCAGGAGCCTCCCTCATCGTCTTACAGCTGACACTGTATCGTCCCAGATAACAATCATATCACCGCCATTACCGTTGTTGTTATTGTAAAGCTGGTGCCAGTAATACATGTTATGGAGCACTATTCTCAGCAGGGAGTCCTCGAGTAGCTCTGTGGGCTAACGCGTCAGACTGCAAGGCTATTTGAACTGCAAGGTCAGTGGTTCAAGCTCACGAGCTTCTCCTTGGAAACCCTCTACAGGGTCGCTATGGGTTGTAATCGACTCGACAGAACTTAACAACAACAGTTCTCAGCATGCTACATATATTATCTCTTAGCATTCCCATTCTACTGCTGAGGAAACGAAGTACAGAGAGGCTTAGTAACATGCCTAAGGTCACACAGCTAGGAAGAGGAGGACCCAGGACTTGAAGCCAGTGCATCTGCAGAGCTCACAGGGACTCCGTAGTGGTCTGGAGCCAAAGGTTGTGCTTTTATCAGCTGCCCATTCTCCTGACCCTGGAGAATCTGTACCACCAATGATGGTGGGGGAAACTGTGCTCTGGGTGTGCCGCTGACATTCAACAAAAGATTCACACCCATGTGGACACGGCCAAGTCTCCTGCAAGAGGCCTAGGTTCAAATCCCAGTGCTGGTAATCTCTGGCTGCATGACTCTGGGCAGGACAACCAGTTTCTCAGTCTGTTTCCTCCCTGGTCATGGGGGCACTGGGCAGAGTGTCTGTTGGAAGTACTGGAGTTGTAAGCACTGACTGATGATAGCTTACTGTGTTCTGAGAGTCAGTGGAAGCACTTTGGCCCTCAAAACAACCTTAGGCAACAGGTGCCACTATTATTCCCATTTTACAGATGAGGCATGGAGGTTCCCAAAGCTAGCCGGTTTGTGTGTGATGGGACCTGCGCTTGAATCCGGACCATCTGGCTCCAGAATCTTCACTCTTAGCACTGCATGGCCCTTTGTCTGCTGAGAATTGGGGAAGAGCCTAGTGTGGAGTGTGATCCGTGCTCTCCACACTAGGTGAAGAACCGAGAAGTGTGGCAGGGTCACGGGCATGGAAGGGGCAGCGGGTGTGCTGCAGGGTGGCAGGCCTCAGCCCCCAGCTCTCCCTGAGATCTCCGCCCCTCATCACCCATGACTATCCTTTCCCTGGGCTCGGCTACTCACCTCTGGAGACCCAATGATCAGGTTACAGGTCCAGGACTCCCGACTGGTGGGCAGTAGTTTGCAGGTTTTGTTCCACCACCTTTCAGGGTTAAAGAAGCTCCTTAGAAGGGAAGGAGACCTCTGCAGAGCCAGTCCCCCCCAAGGCCCCCTGTGAGATCTCTGTGGCAGTCCCCAACTCATCCTGCCATATTCCCCATAGCCACTCCCCACCCAGCAGCCTGGGAAGACCTTCTAGAAACTCAAACAGGTTCAAGATCTGGGCCCCTCTAAATTCTTCCCATGGGGCTGAGGGTGACAGAAACTAAACGGCTGCTATGCCATGCAGACTCAGAGCAAACCTAGAGACAGTTTGAACTGCTGATCTCCAGTTAGCAGTCCAATACCTAACCCAGAGTGCCACCATGGCTCCTTTGAGGGTGACAACCCTCCTTAAATTGGCCTCTGAACTCCCAAAGATAACCATCTCCCCGCACAATAGGCTAAAACCAGCTTTGCCACCTCCTTCTACCCCGTGGGCTCTGCACCCCCATCAATCAGTTCCTGACAAGACTGCAGAGTCCACCCTACCTTGGGATGTTCCCTTCTCCACCTCCCAACAACCCTCCACTCATGGACCACCTTGATGGCTGGATCCTACTGGTCCTGTCCCCACAGTCGCTCTAAGGATCTCTCAAAATCCCAGATTACTAAAAAGCTCCAGGGTCCCCCTCATTTCCCCAATAACCTCTGAAGTTGAGTCCAGCGGACTTGTGACCCAACGTCCCCAAACCACTTTGTTCAGCCCATCTCCCAGTCCCACCATTGCAGCCTGACCCCTACTTGCATCCAGCCCCACCACAGGGTCTATGGGTCTAAATATCTGACCCCCACATTCTCTTTAATGATGCCCTGCTTCTAGGCCTGGTTTTGTGGGCCCTATTACTCCAAGATGCTCTAAGTGCAGATTTCTTGGAGTTGGAGACTTCAGGTTTCCAAGAATTTAAATGCCAAGAATGGTAAGACTACACAGTCCAAGAAGCCCAGGTTGGTTAAATATTGGGCTGAAGGCGCTCTGGTAGCGTAGTGGTTATGAATCAGGCTGCGAACAGTAAAGTCAGAAGTTCGAAACTACCAGCCGCTCCGTGGGAGAAAGACGAGGCGTTCTGCTCCTGTAAAGATTTACAGCCTCGGAAACCCTGTACAGGGTCACTATGGGTCAGAACCGACTCGACGGCACTTAACAACAACAACAAAGGAACTCTCACACGGAGTGGTTACGAGTCAGGCTGCTAACTTCAAGGTCAGCAATTTAAAACTACCAGCCGTTCTGTGGAAGAAAGATGAGGCTTTCTGCTCCCATGAAGATTTGCAATCTAGGAAACTCCATACAGGGTCACTATGAGTTGGAGCTGACGCCACAGCACAGAACCAGACTAAAGAGTTTGGTGATCTGAATCCAGCAGCCACTCCTCAGAAGGAAGATGTGTTGGCTGACTTCCGTAAAGATTTACAACCTCAGAAACCCCACGGGGCAGTTCTACTCTGCTCTATAGAGTTGCTAGGAGTGACCTTGGGTTTGATTTTAGGTTTTAAGGTTCTGCAGTCAGGCCTGTGCTCCGGAGCCTGCGCTCACCTATTCTCTGACTGGGCGTGAAGTTCACAGTCCTGGGCTTGCAGAGCCCCATCCCGGCTCCAGTCACAGGAGATGTTGGCCTTCGAGTTGTAGAAGCATGTGAGCGTGGAAGCATCTGCCAGGCAGGATGGATATGAGTGGATATAGGGAGCCCCAGCCCTCAGAGTTCACCCACCACCTTTACTCCTGTCACACGCACAGTGTACGGCAACCCTGGCAGACAGAGACAGGACTAGTAGACCCATTTCAGAGAGGAGACAGCTGAGTCCAAGTCCCACAGGCATGTCTAGAGGAGCACCCAGTGTCTTCCTGTGTTTTGCAGACACACGTGGACGCGGTGCAGAGCACGATGAGGGCCCTTGGGTTGAGATGAACACCTCATCTCTGGTCCCCATGGCCCCTGCAAATCCCAGGGGCCTGCTTCTAAGAAACATAGGACTCAGAAGGGGAACCATAGGGCCTGGGTCTCCTCCCCTAGAGGATGCCAGGGTCCTCACCCTTCACAGCTGTGGATGGTCCAGGGCTGGCCAGCGGAAGGAGAAGCATGAGGAGGGGCAGATGCCAGGATAGAGGAGGAGCAGCCATCACATCCATGAGGTAGAGCTGGGGAGGGGAGTGCTGTAGAGAGAAGAGACCTCCAGTGAACACCCCCATGATTGTCCACATTGCCAAGGGAGGCAGGCTCCCCACGACAGGGCCTTTGCACCTGCCAGTTTGTCTGCCCAACCCAAGCACACGCCCCCTCACATTTCTGCTCAGATGTTACCTGCTCAGAGAGAGCTTTCCTGACAGGAATGTGTCAAAAAGCCACTTGTCATCAAATCAATTCTGACTCATAGTCAGTCCTGACCTACAGGACAGAGTAAAGCTGCCTCATAATATTTTCCAGGGTGTGATTTTTATGGTTATGGCTGGGTCAGCTGCTGCAATACACATGTGACACAACCTAGCTTGCTGAAAATGAAGAGGACTTGAAGCACTTAACCGATGAAGATTAAAGACTACGGTCTTCAGTATGGATTATACCTCAACATCTGGAAAGCAAAAATCCTCACACTTGTACCCATAAACAACATCATGGTAAACAGAGAACGGATTGCAACTGTCAAGGATTTTATTTTACTTGGATCCACAATCAATGCTCATGAAAGAAGCAGTCAAGAAACCAAATAGTGTATTGCATTGGACAAATCTGCTGCCAAAGACCTCTTTAAAGTGTTGATCCAAGCTATGGCATTTTCAATAGCCTCATACGAACGTGAAAGACGGACAGTAAATAAGGAAAACTGGAAGTGCATTGCCACATTTGAATTGTGGTGTTGATGAAGGACAGACTGCCAGAAGAATGACAACTCTTTCTTGGAAAAAGTGCAGCCAGAATGCTTCTTAGAAGCATGGATGCTGAGACTTTGTCTCACGTACTTTGGACATGTTATCTTAAGGGGCCAGTCCCTGGAAAAAGACATCATGTTTGGTAGAGGGAAATCCTCAAGGAGGTGGACAGACACAGTGACAGCAACAATGGGCTTCAATGTAACAATTGTGAGGCTAGTACAGGCCTGGGCAGTGTTCTGTTGTCCACAGGGTCACCGTGAACTGGAACTGACTCAATGGCACCTAACAACAACAATCTACAGAAACAGAGTGCCACATATCTCTCCTGCAGAGCAGTTAGTTGGTTCAAACCACCGACCTTTTGATTAGCAGCTGGATGCTTTACTCACTGTGCCACCAGAGCTCATTTTTCATCAGAGCATTTCATTAATTAATTAATTGACTAATGTTCTTCTCTCTCTAAGGCACCCTGGTGGCACGGTGGTTGAAGTGCTCAGATGCTAATCATCCGTGGTTCGAGCTACTCTGAAGAGAAAGATGTAGGTCTCCTTTGGTAAAGATTTATGGCCTTGGAAACCTTGTGGGGTAATTGTACTCCATTCCATAGGGTCACTGTGAGTTGGACTGGGCAGCAGTGGGTATGGCTATCTCTCTATCTCTCCAAGTCTCTGTCTCTCTGTCACCGGCCCTGCCACATAAGTTCAATGAAGACAGGGGCTTTGATTTGTTTTATTCATATCTAGGACCCCAGCATGGAATCCTGTGGTGCAGTGGGTTAAACATTGGGCTGCTATTCACAAGGTTGGTGGTTCAAACCCACCAGCTTCCCCTCGGGAGAAATATGAGATTTCTGCTCCTGTAAAAGTTTACAGCCTCGGAAAGAGCAAGGGACAGTTCTTTTCTGTGCTATGCGGCTGCTGTAAGTTGGAATCAATGGTGGTGGGTGGGTAGGACCCTGGTGCCTAGAACAGTGCCTAGCACTCAACAGGAAGAACTATGGCATGAATGAGTAAGTGAATGAAGGAATGTTGCTAATCCAGACAACCAGAAGGGGTGTCTGGCGATTTGAGCTCTTCACCGAGGCCATCCCCCTGCCTCCACCCATCACAGACCCTCAGAGGAATTGAAGACGTGCTTTGTGGACAGTAGGCTGTAAGCTGAGACAGAAACCTGCTGAGCAGACCAGGGCCCCAGCTTCGCACAGCCCAGGCACTTTCTCAGGGACAAAGGTTAAACCTGCTCTGTGTGGTTCTGGGAGCAAAAGAAATTTCTGGAAAACAATTCTGTCTTTTCTAAAAGTCCAATGGCCTTAAAGGAAAAGGAGGTTTCTGCTCTAAGGGGGTTAGCAGAAGCAGTAAGGGTAACTCTCAGACTCATGCCTAATCAGCCTCACACCCTCCAGGGCAGACTCCAGCAGAGGGGGACCAAGCGGGCAGAAAGTGACTGATCTGGCCCATTTATCTCAAGGAGAAGGAGCTGTGCTGGGGGTCTCACCCCCAGTTCAGGGCCCTGCCAAGGGTCACGCCACCCACCTGGGGACCAAGAGAGGACAAAGGGCCCCAGTCACATCCTCTGATGAGATTCAACCTCATGCACCTTGAGGACCACACCTTTGTTCGCAAATGGGGCATTGGAAGAGTGATTCCCAAACCTCAGAGTTGGCATCAGGCCAACAAGACGCAGGTCATACACAGCACACGCAGGGAAATATGATCATATCATGACAACACTATTCCCTGGCTGGTGCAAACCTGAAGCACCGGACTGCTAATCAAAAGGTTGGAAATTCGAGTCCAGCCAGAGGCGCCTTGGAAAAAAGATCTGGAGATCTACTTCTTTAAAAGCACCCATTGAAAACTCTATAAATCACAGTTCTCTGACACACTTGATGGCAGTTAAAACAGGAGCTCTGGTAGCATAGTGGTTACGAGTTGGGTTGCTAACTACAAGGTCAGTAGTTCAAATCTACCAGTTGCTCCACAGGAGAAAGATGAAGCGTTCTGCTCCCATAAAGATTTACAGCCTCAGAAACTCCATACAGGGTCGCTGTGAGTCAGAATCAACTCCACGGCACATCACCACTACTATGAATAACAAATATTATAGAAGATGATCACCAAGCCTTTCTTCTGAAGCACCTCAGGGTGAATTCAAACCACTGACCTTTCTGTTTGTAGCTATGCTTACCAGTTATACTTCTCAGGGCTTCCCTGGGTTTATGTACATAGGTATGAAGTAAACAGGCTGGTGGTATTGTAGACCTTAGCCCATCTATTTGAGCCTAGGTGTGTCTGGCACTAAAGACCCCTTAGCCATGTTCTTGTTACTAAGTGCCGTCATGTCGGTTCTGACTTAGAGCATCCGAGTATTGGGTCTCTGAGGCTGTACGTCTTTTCCCAGGACCTGAAAGTTTTCGTTCTGTTGTGCATAGAGTCACTATGAGTTGGAAGTGACTCGATGGCACCTAATCTTTTTCGCACAGAGCGTCCAGTTGGCTCGAACCATCAACCTTGTGGTTTGCAGTCCAGTGCTTTACCTGGGAGTCACCCTGCTCGGCGCTCCCTCTACCACAGTGGTAGTGGTGTGCCGTGGTGGTAGTGGTGTGCCGTGGGATCGGTTCCAACTCAAAGTAACCCTGGACAGGGTTTCTGAGGCTGTAAATCTCTACAGGAGTAGAAAGCCTCATCTTTCTCCCATGGAACGGCTGGTAGTTTTGAATTGCTCACTTTGAGGTTAGCAGCCTGACTCGTAACCACTATGCTACCAGAGCTCCGGCTACCATGGCAGCATTTGGAATATAGCATGATTCTCCCCACAACAGGCTTCAGATGGGGCTCAAACACAGGTGGATGTGCCACCAGCAGTGGCATTCCAGATACTGTCTAACGGGCTGTCAAGGTGTGTTATCAATGACCTCTAGCCACACCATGGAAACTCTAGCTCATTTAGCACAGGGTGGGGCCTTGGCCATGTCAGGCTGCAGTGGAAACCTGTGCGGGGCCAGGTGGGGGAGGGAAACGAGGAATGTGAGCCAATGGTCATTTTCAGGGTTGGGGGTACTGGAATGAACTTCTGGTGTGTGTGGGGGGGGGTGACCTGAACAGAGAGGTGGTGGCAGAGGGGAGGAGCAGCAGGCAGACCTGAGCGATTGAGAAGGTGGGGAGCCCGTCAAACCCGACCAGCTGAGATCCTGGACATCAGGCGTCGGGTTCAGTGACCTCTCAGCCTCCCTTTTGTCCTTTCCTTTTTCTGTGTCCTCTCATCCTTCTTTCTCTTGAGTCTCCCGTTGGCTCCAGCCCCCACCTCCCACAGGCCTTTGTCCAACTCAGTACTTCCCCTGAGTCTCAGTCCTGCTCCCCAAGGCCCCTAGGACCCCGGAGGAGACTCCCTGGCCCAGCGAAAGGCCCACTCACGGCTATATCTCTCCCAGCTGATTTTAGGGTTGGGGACATTTGTGCCCTCCTCATTCTAGTCCTGTGCCATTCTTGAATGTCACCTTCGTCCCCACCCACAGACGGGACAACTCTTCTCCCCTTCTCCTGCCACCAGTGCCACCATCCCAGCCCAGCCTCGACAGTTATAACTGTCTTCCAAAACCCAGTTCCCAGTCTTGGTGTGATGCTGTAGGATAAACACTGGACTACAAGGTCAGTTTGAACCGCACGGTCAGTGGTTCAAAACTCACCAGCCGCTCCTTGGAAACCCTACAGGGTCACTATGTGCCGAAACTGACTCAAGGGTACTTAACAGTAACAACAAAGTCAGGTTCCAGCCACCACCTCCCTGCCCAAAGCCTCCCACAGGCTAAAGTTGAGGGTTTCCAGGCTTCTGTGATTGGGCTCGGCCAGCGCTTCCTTCGTTCTCGCAGCAATAGATACACACATACACACACCATGTCCACCTGACTACAAACCATCGCCTCCTGGCAGTCAGAACACTAAGGCAGCCAGTCTCCCATCTACTGCCCCCTAAAGAACCCTGCTGTCCTTTGAGGCTCGACTCGAATCCCTCCTTCTCCTCCCTCCAGGGAGCCCTCCCTGACTCTCCCATGAGCCTTTTGCCCTCTGCTTGAAGAGGACAGCAGCAGGACACAGGACAGACTGTCGGCCGATCCCTCCATGAACTACTGAGCACAAAGCCTGGCTCCATGGGACTCAGATGTAGTTGGCTGAATGGATGAGGTCAGAGACCTCCAGTACTGCATTAGGAAGCAGGGCTGTTGGGTACACAGTGGCCTGGTCCAGAAAGCT